TACAGGCCTTTAGGGTTTTGGGACTTGTTTTTACAAGGGTTTAGGGTTTAGGCTTTGGGTGCTCAGGGTTTAGGGTTGTGGGGAGGGATTTGAGGTTTGCGGGGCTTTGAGCGTTTTAACCTTGAACCCGAAACCGTTTTTAGGGTTCAGAAAATTTAGGGTTTAGGGTTTGGGCTTTAGTGGGTTTAGGGCTTGAGGGTTTGAAGCTCTGGGCGGAGATCTTGGCAAGGCAGAGACGGAGCGCGCGACGACACTCACATCTCTGCATGATGGCGCTGCACTTGACGAACACGGAATTGTTAAGGAAGTTGCAGATAGCCACATGTTGTCGTAGAAAGCGAGGAAGCCGCATGGCCGGAGGATGTACACAGTGCGCGTACGGAGAGACAAACCCATAACCACCACAACCTAAAGCAATTCAAAGAAATAAACATAAAACACAAACCGAGAGAGGGAAGGCAACAGGGAAAGAAACAGATGGGAACGCACTCGGACACTCCACCAACGCCCCGACACTAGCCCCGACAGCACAGGGCTTATATTTCAGCCGGACGGTACCAGCAGCGACCTGGACAGTGGGCGGCACCACTGTCAACACATTCAGACCCAAGAACAGAAATAGAAAAAGACAGATCATAAACCAAAACTGCTGGCACCAGGCAACCTGGCGGTTGTTCGCGCGCCCCTCCGACACGGAAAGTCTAGACAGCGACGCCCGCTTGTGCCCCACCCTCTCCTGCCCGCTCCCACGCCCACCACCGCCACCTTTCCCAGCACCCTTGGCACCACCTTTGTACCACCACTCACTGATTGCGTCAGGACTGTGGCCCAGGTCCTCCAAAACCGCTCGCTGAAATGCCCCCGGTAGGAAACGCCCCGGGCGAAGACCCGAAACAGGAGCACAAGCGCCCAAGGCCACGCAACATCCTCCGGCGGCTCCTAGCTGCACAGCCTCAACGCGTCCAGAGCCCCTGCAGTCTGGAGGCTTTGAAGCTGTTCCACCAGCAGCCCAAACACGCCTCCTGCACCCTGGCACGGAAATGTCCCGTCAAAATGCGATTTGGCGCTGCGACTTGCGCACCCTTCGCGGTTGCGTTGGCAAGTAGGGCCACATTCTCTACCGCCTTCTCTACGGCAGCTGCCCGATCAGGCAAAGCCTTGCCTCCTGACATCTCGGGAACACCAAAAGTTTGTGCACCATAGGACGGGCTAACCAATCGCTCTCAACTCCAGCATCCAAACAAAGTCGGCTGCGCCGGAAAATCACTTTCCTGAAATTTGCGATCTGCAGCAATGTGCAATCGCAGGCTTGATGCTCCTGGCCAGGATCCGCGGCAAAAAGGAGATATGAATGGATGTACTGCAGCATGGTCAAAGTTGACATGTCTAGTGAGCCACATTTCACGCTCAGACGATCGCGGGCAGAGACTGCAATCAAAACCCGCCTGCCGGTACGTCCCCGCACGATGAGTAATAATTAGTTTATGGTGCGACAGACCACCCTTCGTTGAACACCTGCGCTGACACCCAGGGAAATTACACTGGAATGCCCCATCCGACGTGTTGGTAGTGTTGACTTCAGTACCCTTAACCCAGTATTTTGTACGCACCCGCAAAGCTGCTGACCCGTCCCTTTTCCTGGAGTAGGTCGCCGAGAAGCTGCATCACTTGCACTTTGAAGGGCAAGGGCCTTTGGACTGGGCTCGACGTTCTGTTGTCCTGCTTGCTTGCCCTCGCACCCTCCTCCCAGTTCCGCCAGAGCTCCAACGCCCGCTCCTTGGCCTGCCCAACAAAAAACGCCACCATTTCCCTGCTGGACCTGTCCTTGCCACATCCTTTGGCTGCGCTGACAGCCAGGGCCCCAACGCTGTGCACAGCAGCTTCCAGATACTGAAGCCGTTTTCCAACGGCATCGGCATCCATGGCCAACAGGCTCCGCCGTTGGCTGCTCCACTCGTGAGTCTGGCTGTGCTCGCCCAGCTTTTTGCTTGCAGCATCTCAGAGATTCTAGCAGCTAGGATGACTATTGCATGAGCTGCACGTCTTAAGGGCACGCTGATGTTTGACGACGCGTACAGTATCTTCAGGCACCGCATGTGCCTGTGCACCTTGTTTGGCAAGGCTGTCAGCAGCGTCATTTCGGCGCCATTGCTCTTTTTCAAGCGGAGTTGCACGGTTCTGGAGTGAGGTATGCGCCGAGACTTTAGTAACTTTAAAGTTGCGAGACTCTTTTGCCTCAGGGCCTTGAATGATCCGACACCAGTGATCTTCATGGTCACTGGGTTGCCAGGGTTGTGTTTTAAGGATTTTATTTAGGGATTTGGCTACCCAATCGCTGTCAGTCCAGAGATGGGTAGGACCGTTTGAACATTCAATCCAGCATAATGCGGCCATTAGGAGGACGACATCATATGCAAGTAGCTTCCGCCAGAGACAGTTGATATCGACTTCGTCTTGGCCAATGGGAGTTTGGCCCTGAAGACGAAGCATCCTAACACACAACTCCCTGGCTCTGCGCAAGTTCTTGTAGCACTTGCCTAACGCAGCAGTGGCTGCGCATTCAGGTCGCAGCTTGTCAGCAGTTTGACACGTGGGTGTCTGCTGCACGAGAACAGGTGGTCGATGCCGCCCATGCTCACCTGGCGCGCAATCTGATACTGAAGCAAGCACTGATTTGTGGCTGGCACCAAGTTTCAGGGAGGACTTCGCGTAGATACGTCTGAATGGCGGGAGATAGCTTCCGCGGTGAAGGCTTGCAGGTTGCTTTCCGCGTGCAGTCTATCGTAAGTATCGTGAAAGAGACTAGCACCACTCGACACATCTGACCAAGCAGGTCGATGTCTCGGCCTTGCCACCGCCCACCGGTTTGGCGCCAATCTCGGCACAAATTCGCACTTCCGCGGCCTCGAACGCAATCGAAGGCCTTCGACAGATCCAAGCTCGCACCAAAAGCCGCAGTAGGCAGGGTTTAGGGTTTAGGGTTTAAGGTGCAGAGGGCTTAGGTTGAGGGTTTAAAGGTGAAGGGATGTTTTTGCACCCTGAAGAACTCGGCAACCCCAAATGCCATCGCACGCCGGTTGAGCGCCCATGAACCTCCGAAACCCCCTAGACCCTTAATCCCCACAACCCGAAACCACCCTAAACCCGCACAGTCAGCTGCGAATTCCCGAAACCAGTCAATGCTGAAGCCAAAAAAACGGCCAAAACCCTGTTGGCTCCACAAACGCGCTTCGAGGTTTAGGGTTTAAGGGTGGCAGCTCAAGATTAAGGTTACCTTGCAAGTGGCTCCTAGGGTTTATAGGGTTTAGGGTTTGGGGTTTAGGAATCAAAGGGACCCCCGCCACAAGGCACCCGACAATTCCCTCAAAACCCCTCCTGGATCTAACTCTTCAGTTTAGGGTTTAGGGCTTAGGGTTTAGCGTTTGGGGTTTGGGGCTGATCCCGAAGCCGAAAAAAAGTGGCCTACGGTCCAGAGGTCGATGAAGACTGGCCCCTTCCGCTCCAGCTCCTCAGCACAAGGGGTTTGGGGTTTAGGGTTTGGGGTGTTTTGAGGTTTGGGGTTTAGGGTTTGGGGTGTTTTGAGGTTTGGGGTTTGGGGTTTAGGGTTTAAGTAGTTGAGGGGGGCTTAGGGCTTTCGAGCTTTTGGACTTAGGGTTCACGGGAGAAGGGACTGGGGGCAAAGGGTTTGCAGTAAGAGTTCACAGCTTTGGGATTCCAGGGCTGAACGGTTCAGCGTTACAGGATCTGAGGGGTCAGGGCTTAGGGTTTAGGGTTTAAGGCTTAGGGTTTAGGGTTTAGGGTTCAAGGTTTAGGGTTTAGGGGGTTTAGGGTTTAGGGGGGTTTAGGGTTTTGGGGGTTTAGGGTTTAGGGGGTTTAAGGTTTAGGGGGTTTAGGGTTAGGGGGTTTAGGGGGTTTAGGGTTAGGGTTTAGGGTTTAGGGTTTAGGGTTTAGGGTGTAGGGTTTAGGGTTTAGGGGGTTTAGGGTTTAGGGTTTAGGGTTTAGGGTTTAGGGTTTAGGGTTTAGGGTTTAGGGCTTGGTGGTTTAACTGGGGGTTTAAGGCAGTTCGGGCTTCGCGGTTCGAGGGCTCAAAGTCTTAGGGTTTTGGAGGCTTAGGGGCCTTTTTCTAGGGGTGTGAGGGCTTTAGTTCAAGGCTTCGGGTTTCGGGTCTGGGGCCTAGGGTCTGGCTTTTGGTCTTCTGGGCTCTTGAGGGGTTGCGGAGCCCCTCACTTTGGGGATTCCGGAGGTTAGGGCTCCGGGACCCCCTTTTGAGGATTTGGGGGGGGGGGGGGGAGGGATGTTAAGGGTTTAGGGTTTAGGGTCTAGGGTCTAGGGTCTAGGGTCCAGGGTCTAGGGTCTAGGGTCTAGGGTCTAGGGTCTAGGGTCTAGGGTTAGGGTTAAGGTTTAGAGGCTCTCTGGTAAGGTAAGGTTTCGCACCAACACCCTCAACGCCCCTCACGGGAGTTGAGGTTCCGGCTGCAGGGTTTCCCTAATGTTTGGGCTTTAGAGTGCAGGGTTAGGGGTTTAGGGTCTAGGGTGGCCCGCCCTTTTGCATGGGGTAAAGTATCTGGGATGCTTCGGATGTAGGGTTCAGTCCACTCGGAAGTGCTCTAGCAAAGAAGCCTGCGAAAAGGGACCCCTGAAGGAGTCAAGGGGCAACTCTTGGCACCGAAGGCCCCACAAACACACGCCTCCCCTAATCTTAAGCCCCCGTTACCCCCCAAATAGTAAAGACTCCCATTTTGGCTATACTGTAGTATATGGGCGGCAGTTAATATGAGGGGGTAGGGGGGGGGTTTAATATTAGGGGGAGGGGATGATGGTGAGCTTGCGGCAACGTGCGGCTCAGCTTTGCAGACTTCTTGAGCTTCAGCGACCTCCTCTCTGAAGGGATGAGCGCCATGGAGGGCAGCCTTGGAGAATCCCGTTTTAGGGGCCTTGCAGGGCCAAACGGTCTATGTCCGTCAAGCTTGAACAGCTTTTCGTGCTGCTTGTAGAACCCGTCACAGGGCGGCACAGTCTTTCTTCTCGCAGCCATGAAAACGGAGGATGTTGACGATGAGTTTGCTGCGGCACCAGATCAAAACATTTCTCAAAATCGTATGACAGACCTCCGGCACATCGCCGGCGGTGCCTTGCTGCGCAAGAAACTCCACTTTTGCAAAGGACACAAGCCCAGATTCCTTGCAAATGGCTAAGGACGCAGGTTTCGGCTATGGGGTTTTCCATGGGGTTACTACAAAAAGGAGTCTCCAAACCCCATAAACCCCCAACCTTCCGAGCCCTGTTAAGCCTCAGGGGTTTAGGGATGGAGGTTCCCTGCTGACTTTGCTGCAGCGGTTTGAAAGTTCGGGCTTAGGGTTTAGTTTACGGGTGTGGGCTAAGGGTTTAAAAGGGGACACACCCTAAACCCTAAACCCTAAACCCTAAACCGCAAGAGTCCTCCCAGGTGGCTTCGTTGTCCTCCTGGAGGGAGTTGCCTGCAGTGCAGTTCAGAGGGAGTCAGGCTCCATACCCCCTAAGGTTGCACCCCCCTTATTAGCGCCTTTAAGGCTTCCCCTACTCTACTCCTGCTGATTTGTGGCCCTTCGAGGATCTCAAGGGGACCCTTAAACAAAGGGCCCCCAAAATCAAAGGGGCACCACCTTAAAGGGGTCCAAACTCGAGTCCCGTGATGCCCCAAGCCCTGAACCCCGCAATGCTCCACGCTGTGAGGGACTTAGGGGCTTTGAGGGTTTAGGGTTTAGGGTTTAGGGTTTAGGGTTTAGGGTTTAGGGTTTAGGGTTTCCAGGGGTTTTGTCTTTTTGGGCGGGCTGAGGGTGCTCAGGGTCTTAAGGCTTAGGGCTTGAGGGTTGAGGGCCTTCAGGGTGTGCGGGGCAGTTAGGATGCTTAGGGCGTTTAGGGATTAGGGTTTAGGGTTTAGGGTTTAGGGTTTAGGGTTTAGGGTTTAGGGATTCGGGTGGGTGCTTAGGGTGTTTGGGGTGTCTACGGCTTAGAGGGTTCTTAAGGGAGGGGAGGTTCATGGGGTAGGTCCCGAGGCAACCCGTGGGGAGCTTTAGGAGCCTTAGGGAGTATTGGGGAGCACTGGGGAATCTTGGGACACATACCCCTCTTGAGCCCCATTTTTTTAAGAATCCTACCCTAAACCCTAAACCCTAAACCCTAAACCCTAAACCCTAAACCCTAAACCCTAAACCCTAAACCCTAAACCCTAAACCTGTTTAGGATTTGGGGCGCCTTTGGGCTTCCTAAGCACCCCCTCCTTAAGATGAGCTCACGGGCCAAGGTTTCTGATTCCCTAAACCCTGAGAAACCCCTAAACCCTGAGAAGCCCTAAACCCTGAGAACCCTAACTCTAACCCCTGAACCCTCAACCCCTACCCCTGAACCCTGAACCCTGAACCCTAAACGCTAAACCCTGAACCCTGAACCCTCAACCCCTGAACCCTAAACCCTAAACCCTACACCCTCAACCCCAACCCCTGAACCCTAAACCCTAAGCCCTAAACCCTGAACCCTCAACCCCAACCCCTGAACCCTAAACCCAAACCCCTGAACCCTGAACCCTGAACCCCTAAACCCTGAACCCAAACCCCTGAAGCCTAAATCACGAAGCCCTAAGAGAGCCATCCTCGGAACCGGTGCCCTTGACCCTTACTCGAGAGCCTGTTTAGGGTTTAGGGTTTAGGGTTTAGGGTTTAGGGTTTAGGGTTTAGGGTTTAGGGTTTAGGGTTTAGGGTTTAGGGTTTAGGGTTTAGGGTTTAGAAACTATGGGAGAACTTCCAATCCCCCCCCCCCCTCCAAGCACGAGGAGGTGTCGCCTTGCCCAGTCTTCGCCAGGGCCAGCTCGAAGATGAGGTCGTCGTTGAAGCTCGGCGACACATCGTCCTGGCTTGCGTTTAGGGGGTTTAGGGTTTAGGGTTTAGGGTTTAGGGTTTAGGGTTTAGGGTTTAGGGTTTAGGGTTTAGGGTTCAGGGTTCAGGGTTCAGGGTTTAGGGTTTTCGGGTTTCCAGCGCGCTCAGGGTTTTCTCAGGCTTTCAGGGCTTCAGGGCTTTTAGGCTTCTTAGGGCGTCAGGGTCTTTGGGGGTCGAGAGGAGTCCTGGCTTCCGGAGCGCTCAGGGTTTCTCGGGCTTTCAGGGCTGTTGGGTTTTAAGGGCTCTTAGGGCTTCAGAGGTTTTAAGGACTTCTTAGGTTCAAGGTTTCCAGAGTGTTTAGGGTTTTCAGGCCTTGTTCGGCTTGAGGCTTGAGGGCTTTCAGGGCCTGGAGGGGGCCAATGTGGGTTGTGGAGGGGTTAGGGTCTCAGGGTGTAGAACTCTAAGCCCTCAAGCCCGAAGGCCCCACATATACCCAAAAGCCTCAAACCACCCTACAACCATTGCCAACCCTAAAGCCCCAAAATATGCCCTGAAAACTCCAACCCCCGGCCTTCTGTGTAGCCGCGTGCGTGAACGAACAATACCATAAGCTGTAAAAATTAGTGTCTTATGGCTTTAAACGTATTCTGTAGGGGATTAAGGGTTAAAAAGAATTATGTTCAAACCCAGCCCTGGTAAAGGGATGCCGTTCGCAGTCCTGGCAGATCCGAGTCCGTTTCGCGACGCCATCGAAGGTCACCTCGGGGGAGTTGGGGTTCGCGGTTTAGGGCTCCCAGACCTTAAACCCGAAACCCTAAACCCTAAACCCTAAACCCTAAACCCTAAACCCCTCTCAGGGGGTGACAGAATGTTCCGAAAAAGATGCGAAACGGCCGGAAACCCAAAAGGCCCAGCATCGGCCTCCAACCCCAAACGCTCCCGAAAAAACATCCAAAGACATCCCAAAAACCCTCAAACCCTGAAACTTAAACCCCTCTAAACCCTCCCAAAAACATCCAAACACCACATCCAAAACGTCCAAGCCCTTAGGCCCTTAAGCCTTACACCCTCTTGGCCTCCACGAAGGTGTCAATCTCGTCGGTGGGCCGCGTGTCGGGCGTCACCACGCGGTCCTGGGCAGAAAGGAAGAGACGAGGCCAGGAAGCCGTTACGGTTTAGGGGTTTGGGGTTTGGGGTTTAGGGGCACGAAGCTTAGGGCTAGGGCCAGGTTTTCTATGCAACCAGAGGATGCGCGCAAGTACCATGGTGGTGTTCCTGGGCTTTCAGCGTAAAGGGCTTCAGGGGTTTCAGCTTCAGGCTTCAGGCTGAAACAGCTTATTTTAGGGTTTAGAATCTGGGGCTTCTTGCGTGAGTTTCGGCTTGAGTCGGGCACTTGGATAGAATACTAGAAGTACTTGTAGTAAGTGGTGAAAAATAGTCTTGAGTCATATTATAATCATAACACTAAGAAGAATAATTTGAATAGTAGTAGCAGTAGCAGCAAGATCGCTTTGACTCTGAGGGCGAGTCCACTTTGATGACCTTCACGAAGAGGTAGCGCTTGCCTTCGGCCCCGGGAGCACTTTAGGAGGTCAAGCGGTGTTTTAGGGGCCTTTTGAGCCCTCTAAGGCCCTGCACCCCAAACCCTACGACCCTTTCATGTAGGCCTTCAAGCTATTTTTTGGAGCTTGGAGGTTGGAGGTTTAGCGCGTTTTGGAGCTTCAGGACTTGAGGGTTTGAGGGAGCTTAGGGTCCTCAACCCGCAAACAGGGGATCGCCCTAAACCCTAAAACCCTAAACCCTAAACCCCAAACGCCAACCCTAAACCCTAAACCCTAAACCCCAAACCCTAACCCTGAACCCTAAACCCTCTTCTGCCGAGCATCGGAGGTCCAGCTCGTCGGAGAAGTCGTCCGTCCTTGGTGAGTTTCGGGGGCCTAAGGTTTAGGGTTTGGGGTTTGGAGCTTATGGTTTTAGGGCTTGGGGTTTAGGCGGATTGCGGTCTAGGGCTTGAGGTTGACAGTTTCGGTGTTGGAGTCCCGGGGTTAAACCCCCTAAACCTCCAGACAAAACGCCAAATCCTAAAATATCGGAAGGCAGGACCCCAGCAACTTTTCTCTGGGGCCCAACTTCCCTGCAATTAAGCCAGAACCCTGTGCGTGCTGATGTAGGCTCTTAAGCCCTAAGCCCCAAAACTAAAGTTTTGGGCTTAAGGTTTATTAGGGTTTCGGCCTCAAGGGGTTACACTGGATTGTTTGATGCGACAGGGGTAGGTTGCTTGGTGTCGGGGGGGAAGGTTCGCAGGGGAAAGATCATCAGGTGTAAGGTTTAGGGTATAGGGTTTAGGGTTTAGGGTTTAGGGTTTAGGGTTTAGGGTTTAGGGTTTAGGGTTTAGGGTTTAGGGTTTAGGGCTATAGGGTTCCAGGCTCAGAGTCCGAAACTGGGCCCAGATGCTGTTGGTAGCGAGGCCGATGGTCGACTGACACGTGGCCCTAGCAAAGGGCGAGGTCAGAGCCAGAGTAGGGTTGAGGGTTTAGGGCTTAGGGTTGAGGGTTTAGGGTTTTGGGTTTGCGTTTAGGGTTTAGGGTTTCGAGTTTAGGGTTTAGGGTATAGGGTTTGGGGTTTTGGGCGTAGAAGAAACTGTCAGGACTTGACCCTCCACCCCAAACCTTGAACCCTAAACCGGGGCGAAGTGCTGCCGAACATGCCTGTTCTAAAGCGGTTCCTCCCATAGGAACCAGACCTGACCGTTTCCTATCAACACTGTTCTTGATTCTGTTAGGATGAGCTTACTGCTCAAGCTTATGACGACAACGTCCTGCACTTGCCCCAACCCAATGAAACTTCCAGCTACAATTTCGCTTCAACTACTTGGGATCTGCAGTTGCGTGAGCTGCGCGTGCGAGACCCTTTAAGAACTTGACCGCCTCAGCCCAAGACCTACAGTCTTCCTGACGTTTGGAAGATGAATACAGGCCCCGCAAGACCTAGGGCATCCCTGTAAAACCCCTGGGTATATTCCGGCTATTCAAAGCCGGCCGCCGAGGTCAAGCAGAAGACCCAGGCCACACCGACCCCAACTCCAAGAAGGGGAGACACAAAAACGAGTGCGAGAGATCTTCGTTACAATCCTCCATTCACACCAACCCCACCTAGTAGGGAATGGGGGAATGAGGTACCCTATACAATCCCTGAAAGGGTATACATAGGGCCCTAACTCCCTCATTCCCTGCTAACCAACAGCAAGATGAAGGGCCGCCACATGGGGGCTTACGAAATAAGGGACCCCTAACTCCCAAACAGTAGGATTTCCGTACAGTAAGGACCCCAATAAGGTATCCCGAATTCCGGAAACCTCCAAATGTCAGCATGCTCTTTGGTGGAAGCAAGAGCTCCCCCGCACGAAGCTGAACTTTGGGTGTCGTGTTTAGGGTTAAGCACCTAAACCCCAAAGCGCTCAACCATACACGACAACCAAGCCACACCCCTCACTGAACCCCCCCTTAACCCGCGAAAAATCTCAACCCCTCAAAACCCCTAAAGCGCTCTCAACCTCCAGCCTCTAAAGATCTTTACCCTAAACCCTAAACCCCAAAACCCTAAACCCTAAACCCCAAACCCTAAACCCCAAACCCTGAACCCCAAACCCTAAACCCTAAACCCTCAAAAAACCCCGCAACTCCGCTGCCTGGAGGAGCCCGCATCGCAGCCGGTGTGCGGAGCCGCCATCCTCGGGGCTGTAAAACGCGCGAGCGCGCGTTTTCTTAGGGTGTAGGGTTTAGGGCTTAGGGTTTAGGGTTCAGGGTTTAGGGTTTAGGGTTTAGGCTTTCGGGTGTAGGGTTTAGGGTTTAGGGTTTAGGTTTTAGGGTTGTTAAGGGTTAAAGGGTTTCGGGCAGGGAGCTCGTTATGCCTGGGGTCTGCTGAAAGTAAACACGCCCAGAAACTAGGCCCCCCACTTCTAAGCACCCCGAAACACTCTGAACTCCACTCGGAAAGCCTTCGCTACCCCGTCCCGCCCAGTTCCTTCTGCCTCAACTTGAACCCAATACCCCAAAGACCCAAAAACCCTAAAACCCTAAACCCCGAAAATCCCACCAACAAACCCTAAACCCTGAAACAATCCCCAGCTAAACCCCTAAACTCCTAACCCCCCCACCCAAGTACCCAATAGAACCCAAAGGACCCTAAACCAGAAACCCTAAACAAAAACTCCAAACTCCTAAACCACCCCCCTCAAGTACCCAAGTACCCAATAGGACCCTCCTAGCAGGGCCCCCGCCGGCAAGCCGAAAAACCACGGGGCTGCGCGCAGGTTGGCCTGGCACGCGCGGTTTAGGGTTTAGGGTTTAGGGTTGAGGGTTTAGGGTTTAGGGTTTAAGGGTTGAGGGCTTAGGGTTGGCCACGGAGACGTGTGATTTGCACGTGGCGGCGCTTGTGGCAGTACTTGGCTCTGGAGGCTTTGTGCCTGTGGACCCTAAAACTCCTCAGGCTGGCGATGAAAATGACAACCCCGAAGCCTAGACTCCTACACCCTAAACACTAAAACCCCTAAATCCTCAAACCTCCTAACCCTAAACCCTAAACCCTAAATCCGAAACCCGAAACCCTAAACCCGAAACCCCAAACCGTGGTGTCTCTACCGACTTGTGGAGGGTCTAGGGTTCAGGGTTCAGGGTTCAGGGTTCAGGGTTCAGGGTTCAGGGTTCAGGGTTCAGGGTTCAGGGTTCAGGGTTCAGGGTTTAGGGTTTAGGGTTTAGGGTTTACGTCAGGGTTCAGGGTTCAGGGTTCAGGGTTCAGGGTTCAGGGTTTAGGGTTTAGGGTTTAGGGTTTACGTCAGGGTTTTGGGGAACATTCAGGGAGGGTGGAGGGTGGTTTAAGGTTTAGGATTTAGGGCTGAGGGCTTAGGGAAGCAAAGACCCTCAACCCTAAACTCAAGCTCAATGTCGGACCCCCTTTTTCGGGCGTTGAGTGAAGGCTTTTGACCCTCTGCGGTTCTCAGAAGTCTGAGGTTGTAAAGCTTAGAGTTTCGGGTTAAGGGGCGCATGCCACCACGCTTGGAAAATTCACGAATCCTTGTTTAGATCCAAAAACGTCCGTCTCAACGCAAAGGGGAAGCCGTGTAGGTGTAGTGCGGGCAACCTATCGCAGGTCTTCCGCACAAACGGAAAAAGGAAACGTAGAGGGCGAAGGATTGGCACAAGACGAAGGCGCCGGGGCCGACGATGAAGAAGTGCTCCCCCCCCGCCAACGGCAGCGCCCGTCCAAAAATGTTGTTGTGCGACGGTAAGCGAAGCATCCCCATTCCATGGGCACCCACAAAAAGCGATTCGCCGGTCTCCACCATGGGTGAGGCCACCGGAAAATGCCGGAGGTACTTGTAGTCACCAGCCCACCAGAAAGAACACGCTGATGATGGCCATCATCGCAAGTCTGCCGTTCGCCAACTCCACGTTGAGCTTCTTAGTTTTCTCAGCAAGGTCGCTGCAGGTCAACTTGATTCCGAAGTCGCCTGCAGCTGCTGTGCCAGGAGACGGGTCCTGCAAGACCTGGCAGACAGGGGCGCATAAACACGCGCGATTCGTGCCTTTCTGGCACGACTTAAAGGAACGACCAGTTTCAAATTCCGACCAGTTTCAAGGAAAATCGGGTACAATGTGCCGTCGTGAAACCTCATAAACCTTGGATTTCAAGCATCGTTTTGTTGGTTGCTGTTTGCTTGCTGCGAGTTGCTGTGCGATAGGCCTTTTTTACTACTACTCTGATTAGCCACATTTGCCATTCTAGTATTCATACTAGGTTGATCTTGCGTGTAGTTGCGCGTTGCTTTTCAAGCAGGCAGGCAAAAAAGTGTAAGCACCCGACACCTCTACTCCCCCCTGGCAAGAGACGCCATCCAAAACTGTCAACTTTCCAAGCCCCTGGCACCCTGGAGCCTCTTCGGAGAGCCTCTTCCCCACTTCCCCGCGGCGAGCGCAAGGCCCGCAGCATTAAGGGCACCCTCGATGCTGCGCGCGTTGCACTCGCCGGCCGGGAGCAGGGCCCGTTTCACTTCGCGGAGGCCGTACTTCTTCTGCAGCTCCTCGATTTGGGCACCGGCTTGAGGTTGGGGCTTGACGGATTCTAGGTCCAAGGCGTGGTTATCGGTTATCAACACAAGGAAGTTGGGCGATACCCCTTTGCAGGGCCGAGCTGCTCTTCTTTTTGTATTGTCCGGCGACAAGGAAGCCCCCTCCCTTTAGGGCTTGCCTTTGGGGTTTTATCGTCTTAGGGTTTGTGGTTTTTAGCGTGTTCGGTTCTTGGGTTTTAGGGTTTTAGGATTTTAGGGCTGTAGGGTTTTGCAGTTTTAGGGCTTTCAAGGTTTTGTAGGGTTTGCGAAGAGTTCTGAAGGGTTTTAAGGCTTTCAAGCGCGTTTTTAGGATCGCAGGTTTAGGGTTAGCGTTTTACGGTTTTTGGGTTTAGTGCTTCGGGCGTTAGGCTTTGCGTGAGGGCCTGGGGTTTAGGGGGGGGATACCCCGGACCATGACGCTGGAGGACGTCCGTGGGCGAGTAAGGACGCCACACCCATCGACTATGAGAGCGTCCCATCTGGCAACGTCTTGGTTTTGGGCTAGCTTAAACCAGCGCAGTTCGTGGATGTCCGTCTTAAGGGCTCGGCTGATCCATTGTATCTGCACGGTAGCATGATTGTTGCGCATTGTGCCATCCAGCCAGAACCCCCAGAGCGCTTGCTTGGGCTGGCGGCGGGTCGGTATTGGGGCCGCGCGGCCTAGCCATCGTAGCGATGCGCGTATAAGACTTCCCGGACGCTGCGGCATGGAAGCTGTTCACTGGGTATGCGTCGGTCGCACACTGCAAGTCGGTCCAAGCCGAAACATGTCTGGAGGGCATACGTCTGAACGGACTGAAGGACGACGACTTGGGCCGCTGTCCAAGCCCGGGAACGTCCTAAAGCACCGAATGAAAGTCCACGGGCGCCTGCTTTCATTTCTGGCGAGCTGAGCTTTTCGCTCCAACCTGTGGATGTCTGCTCCAGAAAGCGCCTCTTGCTAAGCGGCGACGGGAACACTGTCGTCAGCAAACTGCAGGTCCTGAAGCAGGAACCGCTGCTGGCTTTCGACGCCTAGCTTCTCCGCGTTGGTGCGTCTGCCGCCGACGAGAACCTTCCATGAGACACCTACAGTCCATCCCTTGGCATCGGCCATTCGCTTTCTACCTTGTCTGAAATCCTGAAGAACCGCTTGATGACACAGATTGAACAAAGGTGGCGAGCTTGCACACCCTTCGTGAGTCCTCGATCAGCGGCGCGTGCGTCGGAACGAACATCGAAAACCTTAAAAACACATCTTTTAAGAGGGGATGAGAGTCGCATCAGAGGAGCAACTTCACAACTAAAAATGGGGTAAGAACAAACCCGAAACCAAAAAACCATTAGCGGGGAGAAAAACTTACTACACTCAACACACATCACAATAAAGCTCGTCACGCGTAACATGCTCCATGTAACTTTCTTGGGACGGACGGCGCCCCCCCATTCGACAAACCGGACGGCACCTGTCGCCACTCCCAAACCCGGACGGTCGCGACTTTCACATTCGCGGGTATAAACGAAACGACCCATTATTTGTCAAGACAAGAAAAGCGTGTACGCTAAATAGCCAGGGGGCTTATCCTTTCCTTTGTTTGTGTTCGCGCTGCACGGAGACCGAAAGGCGTTGCGTTGCCAACTGCTTGCCCGCCACCACTGTGCCACCGGCACCCTTTCCTTTTGAAGTAGCCCTGAATTTCCACCTCCGAGTGCCCCAGGCCCCAGACCCTCCAGGACTTCTTTGAACAATGCGCCCGGAAGATATCGGCCTGCACGTAGCCCGAACATTTCTCGCCTCCCGTACGCTTTGACTTTCCAACGCTCCGCGAGCGGCGAGTCCCTCGATGTTCCCCCGGAAGCATACTGCGCAGACGAGGGGACGCTCATCGGTGGGCTCGGGCGCTTTGCAGTAGCCCGACTCGATGGCCGACGGAGGCATGTGTAGTAGTGTGGTCGACACTGGCCCCTTGACCCCTTGCAGCAACAGTTGCTCCGCAGTTTTTTTCAGAGCCGCACCGAGCTTGCCCCTGCCTCACCGCCGCTCCTCCACTTCCGGAGCGTATCCAAAACCGCCTCGCGCAGAAGCACACCACCACCCGCCCCGATCTCCCTTTGCCAGCACCCTTGGCCGTGGCAGATGCCAACCGAGCCACCCCATCTAGGCTGGCTCTCCACCGCCTCTAGCCACACTGGCCATGGCTCGGCACCACCCACACTCGTTGAGCCAATCGCAAGCCTGGAAGAGGACGCAGTGAAGGGCCCATCCATGCATCCCTCACAGAGACATGACGCCACGTCGATCCTTGCACACAGTCAGCGAAAAGGGGATCAAAGACTACAAAAGGAAAAGCCACCTCAAATGAAAAACGGGGGAAACGGTACAAACCATATCACGGACCAAAGGAAAGGATTGTCAGACCCACCAAAAGAATAACTTCAATAAATAAACTTCAATGGGGAAAACAGCAAGCACAAAATCAGACACGATGTCTCACTAGAACAGGCACAGACCTACGCCCCGTGCGGAGAGACAAACCCAAAACCATCAAGACCTAAAGCAAATCAAATAAACCAAAATAAAACAAAAATCGAGGGAGGGAAACATGGAAAGAAACAGAGGGGAACGCACTCGGACACTCCACCAACGCCCCGACACTAGCCCCGACAGTATATTTCAGCCGGACGGTACCGGCAGAGACCTGGACAGTGAGACCCAAGAACAAAAATGTAAATAGAAAAAGGCAGATCATCAAGCAAAACTGCCGGTAAAATGCACCAGGCAACCTAGACAAGAAAAGTCTAGACGGCGATGCCCTCTTCTCCTGCCCGTTCCCACGCCTACCACCGCCACCTTTCCCAGAGCCCGTGGCACCACCTTTGTACCACCCCCCGGTGGGAAACGCCCCGGGCGAAGACCCAGCTCCGGGCAACGACCGTCCCGCTTTGCAACCGCAGGCCGGACTTCAGCCGACCCCCACGCAGGTCCTGGCAGTGAAAAGCACGCCTTTACTTGCACAACAACCTCAGTGAGGAGAGCATCATGCTCGTCAATCGGTCTACTGCAGTGAAAACCGAAGTTGGCACCTAAGAACCTAAAGTCGTCGACAAGTCTTACAGGCGTGTTGCGGAGGCGCAAAGCAGTCAGGTCGGACACCATTTCAGAATGTGTTGCCCAGACCTTGCACTTAGGAGGATTCAAACGCTGTCCAGTGGCAGTGAAAGCACCTGCTTCTTTCAAGAAAGCGGGAGGCCATCAACATTTTTGGAGCTGGTGCTGGTATCGTCAGCATATGCCCGCGGATGGCAGTCAGGACAGCGAGCATCAATTGTACGCATGAAGATCATAACCAAAAGGTTTAACAGCACAACTGAAATCGGACATCCCTGGACGATGCCCCAATTTGTAGAAAGAGGCGTGACGACAAAGCCTTTGAAAAAAAATAACAAAGCGCTGAAGCCGGGAGTACAAGTTGCCCGAACATTGCACGAAGGGCTGGGCAGCCCGAGTCTGGCAGCAAGTGGAAGTAAATTCATGTAGCGGCAGTAAGCCGAAAGCTTTTTCAAAATCGAGAAAATCGCCGCAAATTTTTCGAGCAATGCGTGCTCGATCGCAACAGCAAGATTGTACCACGTGTCCATTGTAGAACGTCCAGCGCGGAAGCCGTTCCCCTGTTTCCTCGGCCTTGGTTGCCTTTGGCTCCCTTGGCGTCCCTGCCCTTGCCCTTGCTTTTGCCTTTGCCTTTCCCTCCGCCTTTGCCCCCCTTGCCTCCACGGATGTTTCGGTCGAGAAAAATCCGGGTGGCCAGCCCATCCACAGAACGGAGCATTGGGCCAGCAATATGGCTGAGAACGTGGGATACCAGGCCCCCCGCGTAGTTAGCCCTGAGGCGAAGAAGGTAATTTGATTGCCCTTCTCGCTGTCGGAAAATTCCTACCACGCAAACAGGCAAGGCCGGCGGTGTTTCCCCAATTAAATGTTGGGCCACCCCTTCTGCGGCTTCACCGACTGCCCGCGTCAAAACCTCCATCGTGGAGGTGATGACCTGCCGGGCGGCAGCGCTAATCTGGGGCTGACACCAGGTCACGGGTAGAACGTCGCGCAGGTATGTTTGGATGGCGGGTATTGCCTCCGCTGTGAAAGCCTGCAGATTATTTTCTGCGTGTAGGCGGTCGTAAATGGGGTCTAGCACCGTGAACGACACTAACACCACTCGGTACATTTGCCCAAGCAAGTCAATGTCACGGCGCAGGACGCTGTC